CCATATATAGGTTTCAAACAATTGCTCCTTGCTAATGGTGGGGTAATTCTCTCTCACCCAGACCAGTAAAAATTCCAACTCTTTCGTTGGAATTTCATATAAGGACTGCTCTATTATTTTTTCTAATTTTTGTAAAATTGCCTGTTCCTCCTTAGAAATATTCCATCTCATCTCCTAGGTTGGACAGAGCTTACCAGACCTGCTGGCTATCTCTTCAGATTACTGACCAGCAGAATCCGATGTTTCTGAGTCCTGGGCCCTTGAAACTCTGGAATTTGATAGCAGATATTTTCATCCAGATGGATTTCTTTCAGGAACTGGCTGCTCTGATCCAGGCAGGCTTTGATCGAATCCTTTGAGCTCTTACTGACCGACAGACATGGGACACCACTTGTTGCTGTGGAATCTTGGTCTCCTCAGGGCTAAGCCCTTCTGGGATACCTCCTCAAAGGGGAGTTTCCCTTATCTCAGTTCTGTTTCAGGAAAGATTCTCCAAAGGCTTGTTTGCTTCTTGTTTCTTGCGTTTATTAATATTTATTATCAAAAGACTTGGCAGGTCTTCCCCAGACTTTCTGCACAAGTTCAGTCCACCACAGCTTTGTGGTGACTTGAATAGCACAAAATGGCCTTGAACTGCATAGCCTTTTTATCTTTATTCTTAATCTTTCCCAATTAAGTATAGACACGTAAATTATTTTTCTTAGTGACCCTATGACCCAAGACGTTGTGTGCTGCACTGCGGCATTCTCTATCCAATCACCTGCTACTACCCAAAAACCTCTAAAAGAAGAAGATGAAGAAGAAAGAAGAAGGAAAAGAGATAACACCCTAAAGTAGCCATTTTGTCTTCTTGTTTTCTGTTTTCTAAACTAGCTTATACACTAAACTTTAACTTTTTTCACCCAGTGACTTAAGAAAACTCTCTAATCTACACACTTACACTTTTAGTTTTTCTACTTAATTTTAAAAGTTGTTTTCATGCTGTTCAATGAAATTCAATGTTTTCTTGGATGTCAGAGCTAGGAACCAGAGACAAGGGCACACTCTGTGCCTCAGACTCCAACACAGACCCTTTAGGTGCTCACTTTTCATCACTCTCTAATTTATACAAAAGCTACCACTGGCTACACTTTTGAATCACATGACCTTGGCTTCAAAAAATGACCCTCTAGGATTCTTTCTAATGTGCTGAAATACATTCTAGTGGACTCATTTCAATAACAACTTTACTTCTTGTGTTATTCATTCTTAATGCTATCTACATTTCCAAACTTAGCAGTATCTATTAGTAGTTCTTCTCTTTTCCTTATCTTCATTCCCTGTATACTACACCTTACACACACTGGGTATCTCTGAGTCACCCAACACCAATATTCTTTTTTATATTACTAACAAGCAATGTATACAAAAGGATGACATGTTCTGCACAATCTCCAAGGAATTGCAGTATGACACGACGTAAAACGAGTTTCTGAAAACACTGCCTAAAGTAATCATCAGAAGTATATGCTGATGTAAGCCTGGAGTTCACAAGCCTTGACTGTTTACATGGTTTCTAAAACCTCATGTGACTGCTCAGTGTTGTTCAAACACTTGTCAAACTCAGAGGTGCTTGATGCTGTCACCATTTCCTGGGAGAAGCTGTCCCAGTGGCTGACCATGCTCTGGGTGAAAAACCTTTTCCTAATATTCAAATACAACCTGCCCTGAGCCAGCTGCCTACCCTTTTCTTGACTCCTGTCACTGGTCACAAGCGTGAAGAGATCTGCACCTGCCCCTGTGATTCCTCCCAGGAGGATGCTGAAGACCCCAAAGACTCTCTTTAGTCTCCTCTTCTCTGGGCTCAACTAAGTGACCTCAGCTGCACCTAGGCCTTCCCCTCCATACCCTGTCCCATCCTTGCAGCCCTCCTTTGCATTCTGTCTAATGGCTTGATAGCTTTTGATATTGTGCTGCCCAAAACTGCACCTCTCTGCTTTCAGTGCTTCTCCTGGCTGCTCCTTCAGGCTGCTGGCACCATCAGCAGAGACACAGAACAGCTGCTCCTGCCAGAGTTAGCCCTATCATCTGCACTTCCCCACATGTCTGCCTTGATGTTCACTGGGGACCTCCCTGGCAGGTTCAAAAGCTAAACTTGAACATTTTTCACATGCTTGCTTAACATATTTATTCACTTACATGAGGCGTATTTCTGCTGAAACTACAAACTTCTATTCTTACTTCAAGTCTGTGCAACTTTATAGTTCTAAAGCTTCAAGCCTTCTCCAAGGTCTCAGGTCAAACTTTGCATCCATCTCTATCTCGGAGCCTGTATGCTCAAGGCCTTGAAAGCTTTCTATGCCTGCATTCCCCACATCTGCCTGTGTCACAGCCTGTGCGGGTTTAGGATGGTCACCAGACAGGACGTGTCCAAAGGAGGCCGTGCCAGCTTCTGTGCAAGGCCCCGTGCCCTTCCTGCTGCAGCTGTGTCGGCAGCCCTGGGGCTCCTTCTGCTGCCCTGAGCCCGCAGAGCAGGGCAGCGTTTGCTGATGGTTTGAGCTGTTCCTAAAGATCCTGTCAGGTGGCCTTAGACATTTGGAGTGAGGGATTCCTTCCAACTGGGCCAATTTGGGGGGGCTGGGGGTGGCCTGAGGGCAGGTGGCCGTGTGTGCAAGGGCCCTTTGTGACATGGTGCAGCATGGTCACCATGGCATGGCACAGGACAGGGTGTCAAAGGGCCCATGTGACATGTGGTGACATAGGAGCTGGTGGTGACACGGCCACACCACAGTGCTTGGTGCATGCGACGGGACAGGACACACCAGAGCAGTGCTGTGAGGAGCCCCTGCACAGCACACTCGTTTCTGTCTGACCCGGAGCTTTTCTGAAGTGTTATTCCTACACGTGACCTCGAGGCCAGACCTCTGTCCTTGACGAGGAGCCTCCCATCCTTGTGGCAGGAGGCCTCGAGACCCAAGAGCAGGACTTGTCCTGTGGTCTTGCCAGGACTTCAGTCTTGCAGGTGCCTTCCAGCCACAACTGCAGCACTTGCCGACGTGAAGCTGTTGCAAGGCATCGCTCCTGCAAGTAGCCATAAATCCAATCACTGGCATGGAGCAGAGAGCCCTGAGAGCACCCAAACTGGCCTGGGTGGAGGAGGAAGAAGAAGGAGGCCCTGGAGCTTCCCCAGCACAGACTAAAGAGGTGCAGCAGTTCCAGCTGCTACAGGAGGGTGAGTGGCAGAGCTGAGCCACAAGGCTGGGGCCTGCATCCACCTGGGTCCTGTCCCATCCCATCCCATCCCATCCTCTGGGGACACACCCATGGACAGGACCAGAGAAGGGCCAAGGCTGTGCCTTGGCAGAGGCTGTGCTGCATTAACCGGGGGCATCCCAGAGCTGTCCCTGCCTGGGGAGTGCACGGCTGGGCTGTGTTCTCTGGCCTCTCCTGCAGACCCTCAGCTCTGGCTGCTCTTTGCCAGATGCAGCCATGGACCAGACTCAAGAGCAGGACCCCGCCTGTGGCCTCATCTCCAGAACAGCGCAGGTACCTGCAGCCATCCCCACCTGGGCTGGGCCTGCTGGCACTGCCCAGCCCAGCACCGAGCTTGGAGCACTCCATGCAATATCCCTCTCTTCCTGCCCTTCTTTCTCCTGCCTGACTTGCAAATTCATCAAGTGCATTTGGCAGGAAGAGACCAGCATCATGGGCACTGTGTCCATGGAAAACTGTGATGTCTACACCACTGACACCAGTGCTACCATGCTGAAATGGATTTTGGAGAAGGCTCTTTCCAGTCCAAAGCAAGTAAACCCTGTGGCCAGGGTTTGATCCTCCAGGAATTGCTTGGCCTCCCAAGCCATGCCTGCTGCTCACTCTAAGCCTTGGAGGCCATTGCAGTGTGATGAGAAGGAAAGCACTTCTCTGGGGAAGCTGGGGGACATTCCTGACTCCCTCTGACAGCTTTCCAACTCTCCCCACGCCTTCTCCAGGTGCCCGCCATCGTGAGGTGCATCCACCAGGTGCTCATGACCAATGAATCTGCTGAGCACAGGCTGGAGAGGACCCTGCTGGATCTCACCGAGGCACAGCCCGACGATGTGGTCATTACTCTCCTGCGTGTGGCCCCAACGTGTGACAGGTATGGGGCCCACCTGTCCAGAGGGCTCACGGCTCCCCAGCCCATTGCCCTGTACAGCCTGGCCCAGGTGTGTCACCAACAGAGACTTCCAGGGGCCTCTGGCTGCTCCCTTTCCCAGCCCTGGCATGTCAGCCCCTGAGCCTGCTGCCATGCTGCCACCCTGCCCCTCAGCAGCCTGTCCCCACAGGCCTGGGCTGCCTGGCGTGCTGCTGCTGCTGCTGCTGCTGAGGGGCAGTGGGCAGAGGCAGAGCTGGCAGCCAGCTCAGCTCCCTGCTGCTACCCAGGCCATGGGGATGTGTCTGAGACCCTGTGCCTGACATGGAGCTCTGACCCCGCAGAGCTGCAATGACCATATGGAAGAGGATCTTGTGCTCGCCCAGGACTGCACAGAGGGCACTCCTGATACTCCTGGATGTGCTGGGGGACTGGCCAGAGTACAGCAGGTGCACCTCGGATTGGAAGACCACGGGTGTCTTTGCCCTGGCTGTGAGTTTCTGGAACTGGCCTGCACTCACCCCAAGGCTGCCTCTCCAGCAGCTCTGCACCCTCCTTCCCCCACTGCATCTCCCTGCCTCAGGCACTGGGCTGAAACCAGGCCTAGGGGCAGCTTCAGGGCCACCAGGCCAGGTTCTCTCCCTGCGTCTTCCCCGGCCTCTCCCTGCCACACTCAGGCCCTGCTACACGGACACCTGGACACTGAGCCCTGTCTCAGGCTGCTTTGTCCTCTGCAGGCAACTGTGGTGATGTGGAAGATCCTCCAGGTGCCCTGCTGGCCAGAAGCTTTAACAGTGTATTTCCCCCAGCTCTTTGTGCATCTGCTCCTCCAAGTGTTCTTCAGCACAGAACAGATGCCAGAGGAGGGCTGGAACTTCTGGAAGAGATGCCAGGAAGAACACGGCTTTGCCACCAGCCCCAACAGGTGCTCCATCCCAGTCCTCCTGCCCCTGCCACATCTCAAGGGCAGAAGCCAGTGCTCCCAGCATGACCTGGACTTTGCTGTGCACACAGGTTTGCAGTGCAGACCCTCAAGTCTCTCCTCTGCCAAATGCACCATGAGGAAGCCGTGCTGTCAATGGAACGCAAGTGTGGCTGGGACACGCTGCTGTGTGCTGACACCCACCACTATGCTGTGGGTCTGCTGGCCAGGTGAGACCCCCTTCTCCCCACTGCATCTGGCATTTCTGCCCTGGGCCCAGGGCCTGGCCCAACACCGTCCCCGTGCTTGTGGGCCAGAGGGCCTTGTTAGCAAGGGATGGCCAAGCAGACTGGGAAAAGGCTGGGAGAGGAAAGATCCCACAAGGAGCTGCCTCCCAAGGAGCCCATGTCCATTCACATCCTTGGGGAGAAAGACCAGGCCCATGGGAGTGAGTCCCCTGGCAGAGATTTGCTCAGGGTCCTGGTCCCATTTTTACCCTGCCAGGGAGATGCGCCACGCTTCTCTAGGGTTGTGTTCCAGAATTGCATTGCACTTCCTCTGGCTGCTCAGCACACAAGAGCCACGCTGGGATCTGCCTGCCCTGGCATTCCTTGTGGAGGTGAGCCTGATGGCCAGCACTACCTCCCTGAGCTGCCTGCCAGCTCTCTGCCCTCTCATAGCCGCAGCTGCCTGGGACGCTGCCCGTGCCCTGTGCTGCTGCCTGGGCCCGGCCCTGTGCGGTTCCAGGCTTCTGCCGGCTGGCTTCCCTGTCACTGCCCTGTGCCTTTCAGATCCCGGAGTACCTGGACTCCAGTGAATGCAGTGACAGTGTTGTGCAGGTCTCCTCAAGGTGCCTGCAGAGCGAGTGCAGGGAGAGGCGTCACCTGGCGCTCAGGGCCCTTCTCAAGTTCATTGACCATCCCTCCATGGTGAGAAGGGGACAGTGGCTGAAGCTGGGGAATGCAGTCACTTGGGCTTGGCTGGGCTTGGAGCTCTGAGGCAGCTGCTCCCAGCTCTCCTGACTCCTGCTTCAGCTGCCCCAGTGCTTCGGGACTGGCCTTTGCACTCTGGGTTCTGCCACAGCAGCAAGCTGCGATTTCACACACTTGTGTTCCACACAGGCGAAAAAAATGTGGAGCCTGACTGAAACACTCATGGAGCTACTTCAGGACAAGGATGCAGACATAATTGGGATGTCACTCATCATACTCAGCTTCATATTCACCTACAAATACATTGTGGTACCCAGCCCCATTGCCCTGCAGCTGGCTGAGGCGCTCCTGCCGCTCTTTGACCACGTAAGGCTCTGTGCCCTCAGCCACGGGCACTGAGTGCTGCCCAGACACTTTGTACTCTGTAGATTTTCAGGCCTGTGCCAACGTGAGCCTGGAGCACACAATGCTAACATCATTTACCCTTCCTTTCTTACAGGAGAATAGCCAGGTCCAGCTGCTCTCTATAGGGCTCTTCCAAGTTACAGTGGATTTTTTGGGAAGGGGAAGAAATCCTTTGGAGATGCCTGTGCGCCAGAGCCTCCTGCCCCTGTTCTTCCATTGCCATGATGAGAACCAGCGTGTGGCAGAGGTGAGGATTCGTGGGCTGCTGGTGTTGCTCTGGGAGGGAGCTGGGCTGCCTCCTGCCCTGGTGCCTTGCCGGCCGCAGCCTCCTCCAGGCCTTGGCACAGGGACGTGGCTCCTGTGCCCTGGGCTGTGGGGCCAACTTTGGGTCTCTGCTGCTCTCCAGGCCTCCCTGGAAACGCTGCATTGTGCAGCCAAGTTCCTGAAGAGGAGGGATCTCCAGAAGCTGGAACAGGAGAACCTGTGGATGTTGGGCGACATCCTGGTAAGGGTGGCCTGCAAGCCCCAGCCTCAGGCTGGAGAAGCCCCCTGCCCCTGGTGCCCAGTGTGTGGGGCTGGCCGGGCCTCAGGGCTGGGCGGGCACGGGAGGCCGGGGCTGGGGCACAGCCGGAGCCAACCCTTCCCTCCTGCCGCTCTCTGCAGCTGGCACAGGACAGGAGCCGAGCGGCCGAGCACCTGCGCCGGGCCCTGCCGTACCTGCAGAGCCCACAGGAGTCCCTGCGAGCGGCGGCCATCAGGTTCATCGGTGAGCCCCGAGCCCGGGCTCCCTCCCCGCCCCGCCGCAGCTCGGCCCCGGCCCCGACTGCTGCCCCGGCAGCGGCACCCGGGCCCGGTGCCCTGGAGCCCCGGCTGTCCTCGGGGCTGCTGCTGCCGGC